GATACTCAGACTAATGAATAATGCAATGTGATTAAACAAATGTGATAAACGTGATTAATGAAATGCAAACGAAAATCAGTAATAAATGCATGATTAATGAACAGACTAATACTGAACTAATTAAATGATCAAATGAACTTAACATGGTTTAATGAAAACGAAAATTGGTGATGATTAATGAAAATGAAAATGATTAATCCTAATTAAAAACTGCACACTTAATTCTATTTAAATTCTATAATATCTATGAAAAACTATTATTCTATTAAAAAAATCAAAATCTATATTAAAATATCTCTAAAAAATCTATTAAACTATTTATTATAAAAAGAAATTCCATTTAAACTATTAAAATCTATTTAAAAAAAATCTATAAATTCTAAAAATGATTTAAAACTATTAAAAATGTTAAAATAACTCTAAAAAAATTCTAAAATATCCATATTAAAATCTGTAAATCCTATGTTGATTTCTATTAATTCTCTAGATTAATCTCAATAAAACCTATATCAATTTCTATTTAAAATCTAGAAAGAAACTAATAAACCTATTTAAAATCTATAAAAAGGCTATACAATCCTAAAAAGGCAAACAAAGGCGAACAACCAATCATAAAAGAGAGCGCGAGACCAGATCGAAGCAAGCAGTAAATCCAGACATCAAGAACCTCCAAAATCACCGCGTAAGCTGAAAACACCCAGGAAGCGCGTGACTTCAAAAATAACCTCTGATTATCCGAATCGGTCTGAAATACCCGAAATGTGAAAATAAGGCTGTAATCCCGATAAAATCAATATGAATGAGAAAATGCACTGTATGCGGTATGCGAATGCGAAATGCGTCGAATCGTAAACCAGATAGGAGAACCGGTTGGTCAAATGTTAGGGTGTAACACATTTGTTACTACTGCAAGTCTACCTCCTTTTGGTCTTCCACCTGGTTCTGTACCTCCTCCTGTTGCTGTTCCTATTGCTCAATCAGTTCAACAGGTTGTTCCTTTGGTTTCTGCAGCTCCTCGAGTGGTTCCTACTTTTACACCAACTACTGTTTACACTCATGTGCAACCTTACTTCAATGAGCCAGTTTATGATATCCCTGATGAGAAGGATGACGAAGATGAACGACATGAAAAGTTGCGTGAGAATGTTGAAATTATGGACAAGAGATTGAGGAAGATGGAAGGTGATCAAATCTTTGGTGCTGCTTCCAGAGATGTCTGTTTGGTTTCTGGACTGGTTATTCCTCCGAAGTTCAAAACTCCAAGCTTTGACCGTTATGAAGGTGCTACTTGTCCGAAGAATCATCTAGTTATGTATCACCGTAAGATGGTTGCTCATGTTGAGAACGACAAGCTGATGATACATTGTTTCCAAGACAGTTTGAAGGGTGCTTCCTCAAAGTGGTACTTAACTTTGGATCAATCTCGTATCAAGTGTTTCCACTACAAGAAAAAAGGAGATTTACGACACTTGAGTTGCGACAGTTATCACAAAATCGTCCTTATTCCTGTATTGTGACAGTTGTCACGACAGTTAGGGTCAACTGTCATAGATTTTTTGCGACAGTTATCAAAAAACCATCCTTATTCCTGGACTACGACAGTTCTCACGACGTTTTGAGCCAACCGTCGCAAATTTTTTAGGCATGTTGTATAAAATAATGCGACAGTTACCAAAGAACCGTCCTCTATCCACACCCGCGACAGTTAAGGCGAACTGTCGCAATTACTTTAGCCAATCATAATCACTATTTTTTTTTATTTCTTTAATTTTCCATTTTTTTCTTCATTTTTATTTTCTAACCTTTTCAATTTTATTATTTAATTTAATAAATAATTATTATAATTTTTATAATAATATAGTTTAATATTTTTGTCTAAAATAATAATAAAATATTTTCTATTTTATTATATAAATAGTTAATTTTTATTAAAATTAATTTTGATAATAATAACCGACCTTCACTATAACATTTTTATTCTATAGCAACGCCTAATTTTCAAGAAGTAAAAAAATTATTCTCGTAGAGAGTAATAGGCAACTAATTATATAATTTATTGCGGTAGTTTATATATTTTTTGTAAATTTTATACAACAGTGAAAAATTGTTTTTATAGAGAACAATGAAAACGGCTCCAATTAACAATGGTTAAACCCGTTTTTATATAATTTTTAATTATTTTAATAAAATATTATTTATCACCACTGTATTACCTATCTAATTTTTTTAATAAATTTTTTTAATTGTCCCTCCCAAATGTAAACATAAAATTTTCAATGTTCCCTCAGAAATTGATTTTAACGCACATAGTCCCTCCCAAATTAATTCTAACCACATAGAGAGAAGAAACATTCTTTCCAAATCCGATATCCATTTTGTAACCCTAACATTTTGTTCTTCATCCCATATGTAACTGCGATACGCATCAAATCGGAACCAATCAACACTGCGATCCTCAACTCTTTAACTCCTCAATCTATATCCATGTTCCTCTCGTGCATACTCGACATTCACTCCGAACAGAAAACATCTATCCGTAAACAACGTATCAAACTCATGGGAACAATGGCGGAAGTTTACGAAGCTCTAGTCCTTCCACATCTTTCCAAAATGGTTGCCACAGTTGTTAAATGCTTTAGGGATTCAGATTCTTCGGTCAGAGAAGCCTGTGTTGAAATGGTTGCGGTAGTAGCTTCTAAATTGGGTAATCAAAATAATGAAGATAAGGTGTTTGTGTTATTGCCTAGTCCAATTTTCGAAGCGCTGGTTGGTGAGCAGAATAAGCATGTTCAGTTTGCTTCTGCTTTTTGTCTTGCTACTGTTATTCACAACACGCATAGTCCTCCTATTTCGATTTTGCATAACATGTTGGTTAGGATTTTTAAAAATCCATATTTTATGGCTAAACCTGCACTCATTGAGTTGAATAGGAGTATCATTCAGGGTGGGGGAGCTTTTACACAATGTGTTTTGACTACTACTGTTGCTGGTATTAGGGAGGCCTTAAATGATACTGACTAGAAAACCCGGAAAGAGGCTTCTGTAGCATTGGGACAAATTGCTTTGAGTTATGCGTCTTTCTTGTTGCCTTTAAGTCCTTCTTGTATTCATTCTCTTGACTCCTCAAAGTTTGACAAGGTGATTTCTGACTCAGATTTTGTACTTGTATGTTTCTTAATTTCCATGTTTCTTTATCAACTTATATACTGATAATTGGTTATAGGTTAAACCGGTTAGGGATGCTGTTTTGCAAGCTCTTAATTGGTTATAGGTCAAACCGGTTAAGGATGCTGATTAAAACCGGTTAGGGATGCTGTTTTGCAAGCTCTTAATTGGTTTTGCAAGCTCTTAAGATTATTGAGTTCTTAATGAAGAATGTTCTATATATGAAACTTGATTATTGTTAGTTATTTTTAACCATCAGTTTTTGTTTTTCTTTTGCAGTTAATCAATTATCTTCTAATCTCGGCTCAATATGGTATGTTATTTGTCATTTTTATTTTAGTTTATATGTTCTTGATTCAGAATATATTTTAATGTTGAGTTCTTTGTTGCTTATTAAGGTTATTATTAATGTGGTAGCATTAACTGTTTTTTCTTGTAGAATTCGGATAAAATCAGTTGAATGAGGATTTGCAAGAGGTGAATATTGTTTCACCTGAAAACAATTTGTCTGAAGATCAAACAAGTAATCACTCAGATGAATACGATGATGAGTCGGATGACGATTTTTTTGAGGATCTAGATCAGTTTGCTGAGGAAAATTTTGAGTTTCCGAGGAATCTGCACCAGAATGCGAGGAGTCTGCAGTCTAATGATTATTTAGATCGGTTGAATGAGGTTTTTAATGAGCATAGGAGGAATCTGCCGCAGAATGCGACTTTTGAGCATGTTTATAGTTGTTTTTCGGTCTCATCTCTCGATAGGGTATGTCATCAGATGCTTCTCGAGTATAGAATCTAAGTGTACACATGATCTTTCTAAAACATTCAATTGTACTGAATCTTTTTTTTCTGATTTTTTGCAGCCGAATCTGGAACACGGTGATAATAGTAAGTGCGCTAACATCTTACTTGGTTACATTTTAACACCTCACATACCCAGAGAAAATCAAGAAAAGGCGAGAAGAAACTCCTTTGTTTACATCTTCAAGATATGTCAGGTAAATTCTAGTTCTAGTTTCTCTACATGAATCAATATTTGATTGTATGAATATTTTGAATTCATGATTTTAACTTTTGAGTATTCTTGATGTGTTTTTTAGCTTATCTTCATGGCAATGGTGACGATGACGCTATTTTTAAGAACTGAGATGCATCGCGAGTCTTTGAATGATGGAGGTGTATTTGTTGGTGCTATATTTTTCGCGGTAGTTATGATTATGTTTAACGGAATGGCTGAACTTTCAATGACCATTGCAAAGCTTCCATGTTTCTACAAGCAAAGAGACCTTCTATTTTATCCTTCATGGGCATATTCTATACCTGCATAGATCCTCAAGATGCCTGTTACATTTTGTGAAGTCTCCGTTTGGGTTTTTCTCACGTATTACGTAATAGGATTCGATCCGAATGTTGGCAGGTAAAGAACCTTCCCCTTATATATCTGCAACATGTTAATACTACTAGTTCTAAATTTTACTTATGGTGCAAGGGTTCGTATTGGTGCATATTATTAAAGCTGTATCTTCTGCTGTTATTGATAAACCAAGTGGCTTCTGGACTATTTCGCGCTATTGCAGCACTCGGTAGAAACATGATTGTCGCCAACACGTTCGAGTCCTTTGCACTTCTCACACTTCTTACACTCGGTGGCTTCATTATGTCCAGAAGTGAGTTTAAATAACAAAATTTACAAGCTTCATTTTATCATATAATGGAGCTAGATATTAATGTTTCTTTCGATTTCGTTGGCGATGATATTATGATGCAGAGGATATCAAAAGCTGGTGGATTTGGGGTTAATGGATTTCACCTTTGATGTATGGACAAAATGCTATAATGGTGAATGAATTCCTCGAAGATAGTTGGATAGGGGTTGGCGCATTAATAGGATTTATGTTTCTTTATAACATTATATTCACCGTGGCTCTCACGCATCTCAATCGTGAGTATCTATCTTCATATTCGGTTATTTAAATTTCTTATGTTAGTGAAAATATTTCATTAACAAAGATGAATGAATTTAACAGCATTTGATAAGGCACAAGCAACAATAAATGAAGAATCAGAAGACAGCGCAACGAATGGCACACTCCAAGAAGTTGAATTACCGCGTATAGGTGATCTATCGTTTTTATACCACTCATGAAAATGTGATTCATAATGTCTTTAGAATCTTAACAAACTTGCAATTGTTATGCAGCAAGTTCAGGAGAATCCTCTAGCCGCAGACAGAAACGAGGAATGGTTCTTCCTTTCGAGCCACATTCTATAACCTTCGACGAAGTTGTGTATTCGGTTGATATGCCACAGGTAAGAAAATTTCAAAGTTTGTTAAAATTTAGGATTTGGTTTTTCCAAAACTTGACTCCGGAGATTCTATTTGGCAGGAAATGAAGATTCAAGGAGTAATAGAGGATAGGTTGGTGCTTTTGAAGGGTGTTAGTGGTGCATTTAGGCATGGTGTTCTCACAGCGTTGATGGGAGTTAGTGGAGCTGGAAAAACTACTTTAATGGATGTTTTGGCGGGAAGGAAAACTGGTTGTCATATCGACGGGAGCATAAAAATTTCTGGCTACCCTAAAAGGCAAGAAACGTTTGCTCGAATCTCTGGTTATTGTGAGCAGAATGACATCCATTCTCCTCATGTTACTATCCATGAGTCATTGATCTACTCGGCATGGCTTCGTTTACCATCAGAAGTTGATTACAATACAAGAAAGGTTCGTATTTAAAGCTCGAGACACTTTATGGTTTTTTTTACTTGATTCATTAATTGAGATATATGATAAATGGTTGTAGATGTTCATTGAGGAAGTAATGGAGCTAGTAGAGCTGAATCCATTAAGAAACTCTTTGGTTGGTTTGCCTGGCGTAAGCGGTCTTTCAACCGAACAACGCAAGAGGCTAACTATAGCAGTTGAGTTAGTTGCCAATCCATCCATAATTTTCATGGATGAGCCTACATCTGGTTTAGATGCTAGAGCTGCTGCAATTGTTATGCGAACTGTTAGAAACACAGTTGACACAGGAAGAACAATTGTATGCACCATTCATCAACCAAGTATCGACATATTCGAAGCTTTTGATGAGGTAAAAAAGTGTTTTCAGGTTCTTCATCTTCTGGACTTGAAAATTGAAATGACATATCTTATCTTACATATATGATTTCTTTTAGTTATTCCTGATGAAGCGCGGAGGACAAGAAGTATACGTTGGGCCGTTGGGTCGTCATTCGAGTCAATTGATCAAGTATTTTGAGAGTATTGAAGGGGTTAGTAAAATCAAAGATGGCAATAATCCAGCAACATGGATGTTGGAAGTTATGAGTTCGGCGCAAGAACTTACTTTAGGTGTTGATTTTAATGATACATACAAAAACTCTGAGTTGTTTAGGAGAAACAAGCAACTTATAGAAGAACTAGGAAAACCTGCTTATGGTTCAAAGGATCTTCATTTCTCCACCCAATACTCAAAGTCATTTTCGATCCAATGCTTGGCTTGCTTATGGAAACAACATTGGTCGTATTGGTGCAATCCGCCATATACTTCCGTGAGGTTTTTCTTCACTACTTTCATAGGCTTGATGTTTGGAACAATATTCTGGGATCTTGGCAGGAAATAGTAAGTGAAACTTCATTATTAGTCAGTTTTTCTTTACAAAGGTTTTAAAAAGGCGGTGACCCTCTGATGGCCATCTCTACTGGGGTATCAAAAAGACCACACAAAGGTTTTAAAAAGGAAGGTGCGAGCAATGGCAAAAACAGTGATAGACAAAAACACAAAAAGGCAAAGGCATTTTGATTGATTTTAATTTTTTTTTCCTGCAGAGCTTTATAACAGGCTCCACAATTTTGTTGTAATGATATTTCTAATTATTGTACATCAAAATTGTAAAGATTATTTTGAGCATGCTGCGTTTGAAAGCAGAGCTTTATAACAGGCTCCACAATTTTGCTGTTTCGTGGATTAATCATGATTTTTGCATATATCTTTTTCATCAATATAATACAATATAATATAATATATTATAAAACAATATAATACAATATATAAAAATTAATAATAAACCGTCAAGATATCACATTCACGACAGTTTTAAACCGTCACAATCAACAATGGTAACAAAAATCAAAAGGATATTCACGACAGTATTTAACTGTTGTCATTTCCAATTTATGTCAGTTCCAATCAGTCGTGAAATAGATTTCACGACAGTTTTAAACCGTCACAATCAACAATGAAAATAAAAATCAAAAGGCTAGTAACGACGGTCTTTAACCGTCGCTATCTCCAGTTTAGGTCAGTTCAAGCCCGTCGCGAAATATAACGACGGTTGTGTGTGACGGTTTTTTCAACCGTCGCTAAACAGCCTGGGGACACACGTTTCTGCGACGGTACTACAACCGTCGTAGAATGTAATTGGTGGCGGTTTTAACCGTCGTAACCTGCCAAAATAACCGTCGCAATCCATCATTTTTCTTGTAGTGTTCCAAGATCTGTCTAATGCCTTCATCAAATACTACAAGTACAACATGGATCTGGCTCCTGATAGAAGACAACTGTTGAGTATGTCCCAAAAGAGTTCAGAATCATTTAAAGAGTATGCTCAGAGGTGGAGAGAGATTGCTTTGCAAGTAGAAACCTCCTTTGAATGAGAAAGAGCTAGCAGATTGGTTTGTTGACACTGTGCATCCAGAATTCTATGAGAGAATGGTTGGCAGTGTGACTGCTAATTTTTCTGACATCGTTGTTGTTGGTGTAAAAGTTGAATTGGGTCTGAAGAGTGGTAAAATTTCAAGTGTTGCCGGTATTTCAAGCTCAAAGGAGCATGCAAAGAAACCTTTATTCAGTTCTCAGAAGAAGAAAAAGGGTGAAACTAATGTTGTATCTACAGGTAGACGAAGAAATCAATCTTATCAACATCCGCAGAATTATGTTCAATAACCAGGTTATCCGGTCTAGTATGCTTAACAACCTTATGTAGCTGTTGTTACACCCTCTTTCAATCAACAAGTTCTTGCCTATTAGCCTGTGCAACTGGCTCTTGTCTATCAGCCTTCGGTCTATCAACAACCTCCTAGTTATCAGCCTGCACAAGCTCTTGCCAATTATCAACGAGCGCCCAACGCTCCTGCTTACCAACAACCTAAGAATCAGGCACCTCGTCAGAATGGTCCTAACAGGAGACAATACAAGCCATGTCCTCCGATTTCGATGTTACCGAGTTGCACCCTTCATTAGTGCAACAAGGCCTGATTACTACAAGAGCTTTGGGTCCACCTCCCAATCCTTTACCTGCCAATTGCAACGCCGCCGCTCATTGTTTATTTCATGAGGGTGCGCCTGGTCATGATCTAGAAAGCTGCTATCCCATCAAGAACCTTGTCAGAGATTTGATGCAAAAGAAGATTTTGTCTTTTGATGATCCTCAGCTGAATGTCAAGAACAACCCTTTGCCTAACCATGGGGTTGTTAATTCCATTGATGATTCATCTGATGAAAGACTTATCCTTGATGTTGCTCAGATGAAGACTCCTCTCAGGGTTTTCCATTCAAAATTATTTGAAGTCGGTTTAGTGACTACTTCTCATGTCGACTGTACAAATTATGATGTCAGTACTAAGGGTTGTTTATTGGTTCAGAATGGTATTCAGTGATTGATTAACGATGGTTTTCTATAAGTGGTTAACAACGCGAAGAAGGATGAAGTTGTTGTGATTGAGCCCATCTTTAACTTACCAGAGCCAAATGCTAAAGTGCCTGTCTTTAATCTGCTAAGATCAAATTTTGCAAAGCCTGTGTTTAATGTATCTAAGCCAGTTACTCCTACAGTGAATCAACCGAAGCTAATAATTATTCAGAAGCCAAGTCTGTTTCATTTCAGTGATCCTAAAGTTGTACCCTGGAAATATGATGTGACCATGATTGACAAAGAATCTGGGAGGCTTATTCCGAGGGAAGAATTGAAGACTGTTAATGAAACTATGACCAATATAGCTAGGGCAAGCAAGATGACATGCAGTGGTCATATTTATACTCCCTGTTTTAATGAGGCTCTGCCACAAGAAACTACTGCTACTGTGCCTGCCAAAGACAAAATTAAAGAAGCAGTTACAAATGATGAAGATGCTAAATTTTTTGAGAATCATTAAGAAGAGTGACTACAAGGTTATTGATCATCTTAATCAGACTCCTTCCAAGATCTCAATCTTTTCTTTGTTCATTAGTTCACCTGCTCACAGAACTGCTTTACAGAAGATATCGTCTCAAGCTCATGTCGCTCAATACATTACTACCGGTCAATTTGATAGATATTAGCTTCAACAACGAAGAGCTACCGAGAGAAGGTCAGAATCACAACCGTGCTTTACATGTGTCAGTGAAATTCCAAGAGGATAACTTATCAAGGGTGCTCGTGATACCGGTTCATCTTTGAACGTCCTACCCAAGAGGGTTCTTACTAATTTAGCTTACCAAGGAACCGCAGTGAAACCTACTTCCTTGATTGTCAAGGCTTTCGATGGTTCTCACAGAACTGTGATTGGAGAAGTGAAGCTTCCGATCTTAATCTGTCTGCATGTTTTCAACATCACTTTCCAAGTAATGGACATCAATCCTAACTACAGTTTTCTACTTGGAATACCTTGGATCCATGTCGTTGGAGCTGTAACTTCAACTCTGCATCAGAAGATGAAGTCTGTGGTCGATGAAAAGTTGGTTATCATACATGGTGAGGAGGATTTGATGGTCAGTAACCTATCTTCTTTCCGTTTCATTGAGGCTGATGAAGACGCTTTGGAAACTTCTTTCCAAGCACTTGAGATCACCAATGATGTCCTATTGGAAGTCGAAGAAACAGTGGGCTAGAGTACTCCATCTTTCACATCTTTCAAGAGCACCAGATCAACAATCGACTGGGGCATTCCTGAAGGTTGGGGAGAAGTGGTTGATATCAAGACTAAGATGAATCACCACGGGTTGGGTTACAAACCAACCAATGATAAATCTTCTACAACTGTCAAAGGGCGTCCGAAGATTGTCCGAGAAGTGTTTGTCAGTGGAGGTTTCCAAGTCAATGCTATCAACGATAATGATGAAGATGAAGACCTGAGCAACCTGGTATTCAATAGCAATGCAGCCTTGAGCAACTGGGAGACTATAGAGATCCCCATTATTTTTCTCATTTCAAAGTAATTTAATGTTTTCATTGCTGTTTTCAAAAATCCATAGCTATGCACAAGGTTATTGGATTATTTTGTAAGGCCACCTTTTCTCTTTTAAAAGGATATTAATAAATGCATTTTGTTCAATTCCATTTGTTTCATCGCATTTTTTGATTTTACCTTTTAAAACAAAATTGGCAATCTTTTCAAAAACTACAAAAAAAAAGCATTTTCGTTCTCTTGCATTTTTCTTTGTGCATTTTAATAAAATAAGCCTTCCAACATGCAGTGATATCCAAAACCTTTTTGAATCCAATAACCCTGCTTTCACTCCTGACTGGGATTCACCCATTTATCAAGCTGAAGATGAGGGTGAAGAAGATTTTAAAGTACCCACCGAACTGGAGAAATTGGTTGAGTACGAGTACACTGAACTTCAACCGCACAAGGAGCAGGTAGATCTGATTAATCTTGGCACTGATGAAGACAAGAAAGAGGTCAAGATTGGTACAAAACTTAGGGCCGAGGTTAAACAGAGATTGGTCAAGCTTCTAGAGGAATATGTTGATGTGTTTGCATGGTCGTATCAAGATATGCCCGGTTTAGACACAGATATTGTTGTTCACAAGCTGCCGCTCAAGACAGAATGTCCACCTATCAAGAAGAAACTTCGAAGAATGAGACCTGACATGGCTTTGAAGATTTGGGATGACGTTAAGAAACAACTTGATGCAAGTTTCCTTACAGTTGCGAAGTATCCTAATTGGGTAGCCAACGTTGTTCTAGTGCTCAAAAAGGATGGTAAAGTCAGAGTGTGTATAGACTACAGGGATTTGAACAAAGCAAGCCCAAAATATGATTTCCCTCTGTCGCATATAGACACACTTGTGGATAATACAGCCAGTTTTCTCTTTTATGGATGGTTTCTCCGGTTACAAGTAGATCAAGATGGATCCTGCCGACTGAGAAAAGACTACATTTATTACTCCTTGGGGAACCTTCTGCTACAAAGTTATGCCTTTTGGTTTGAAGAACGCAGGGGCAACATATCAAAGGGCTATGGTCGCTCTCTTTCATGATATGATGCATAAAGAGATCGAATTTTATGTTGGTGATATGATTGCCAAATCCCAAAATGAACAGGACCATTTGGATCATTTGCTAAAGTTGTTTGAACGACTCAAGAAATACCAGTCGAAACTAAATCCTGCTAAGTGTACCTTTGGTGTTAGATCTGAAATACTACTTGGTTTTATCGTCAGCCAACGAGGAATCGAAGTAGATCCTAACAAAGTCCGAGCCATTCAGGACATGCTAACTCCACAAACTAAGACACAAGTCAGATATTTTCTTGGACGATTGAACTATATCTCCAGATTCATCTCTAACATGACTGCTACCTATGAGCCTATATTCAAGTTACTCTGCAAGGATTAGACCGTTGATTGGAATTCCGATT